TTTGGTAACGAGACTGACTCAGAACCTCGTTTAACATCTTCGAAATTTATTCGGTAATCGTGATCATTATTAAGTCCCAAATTCCTTCCTAATTCCTATAATATTTTATTTATTACTTTATTCCTATAATATTTTGCCTAATGTATTTCCAAATAATTTCTATTAATTTTTTAATTTACCTTCCAATGTTTTACCAAATAATTTCTTTTACATCTTCTAATTCATCTATTAATTTTTTATTTAATAATTTCTATAAATTTTTTAATTCATTTACCAATATTAAAAATTTTCAAGTTTGAACAATTTATAGAGTAATAAAAAATAGGAAACAATTATTTGAAAGGAGAGAATTGTCTAATTGTAAGCCGAAATTGAAAGGAATTTGAAATTCTCTGTAAGCGTGGTAAACAAAGGGAATTCTTAAATTAGTTCGAGGAAAAGCTACTGGACTCGAGTTCTATGCTCCCAGCGGAGATTATTGAAATTCATAGTAGCGTATCGAGACAGGAAATGAAGAATTACGGAACAATCGATCAGCGTCTGCCAGCTGACCTCTTTAACTGCTTTATCAAGTCGCCTGAAGTCGGATTAACAACGGCGGCACTGGCAGATACGCGGCATGAATCGTACGAGAAGTTTGCTCAATAGAAAACGACCGCTACTGTATAATTGAGTTTTGAAATGCTCCAATTGCATAACCAATGACTCGATAGGTCGCTTCTGTTCTCGGAAATTCGATCCGATTTTTCGCAATTCGTTAAAACTTCGTTCAAACTTCGAGAATTTCAATTTTATCATTTCCCCCAAATTTTTAAATTTCGATCATGGTCCTTTGCCAATAATTATAACGACGAATCTCTACATAATAATCCCATGTAAAAAGGAAAAAAGAAACGAGCACAAATAATATTTTTTTTATTAAAGAAATTAATACATAATTGTTCTCTTGCTTTAATAATTAATATTCCCAAAAATTTTCATTATTATCAAATTTTATTAATATTAAATTAAATTTTCCTTATTAAATTAAAATTCTTTTCTTATTTTCCTTATTAAATTTTCCCCCTTATCGAGCCAATTTTATCGATTTTAAAATCGTTTTAAATTAAGTTTCGAATTTTATTAAGTACACCTTATTAAATTTCACATTTTATCTATTAAATTGCAAAAATGGAATAAAATTTAGTACACGGTAATTTCGTAGAAAATCACCTGTATTAAAGAAATTAATACAAAATTGCTCTCCCGCTTTTATAATTAATATTTCCAAAATTAAGTACACTTTATTAAATTTTCCTCTTTATCGATCCAATTTTATCGATATTGAAATCGTTTTAAATTAAGTTTCGAATTTTATTAAGTACACCTTATTAAATTTCACATTTTATCTATTAAATGAGAAAAATAGAACAAAATTTAGTACACGGTAATTTCGTAGAAAATAATCTGTATTAAAGAAATTAATACAAAATTGCTGCTCTGCTTCCATAATTAATATTTTCAAAAATTAAGTACACTTTATTAAATTTTCCTCTTTATCGATTCAATTTCGCCAAATACATCTTATTAAATTTCATATATCATCGATTCAATTTTCTCCGTTAAATCGTGAAAATAGAAGAAAATTTGATACACGAGGATTTCCTAGAAAATAGACTGTAAATTGCCAGCAAAACGCCAAACCAGTTTCGAAGTTAACGTTAATCGTGGACAGCTCGTACGTGGTGCGGTGAAAGTGAGATGAGGAGGCATTAATCCGCGTAACATTGACCTCCTGAGTGTCGGAAACTAGTCGAACGAAGAACAGAGACGAAACGACAAAAAACGGAAAAAGGAAAAAAAAAAAAGAAAAAAAGATCCGGACGACTAGTAAAAATTTCGCAAGGTGTACAACTAATTAACTCGATGTCGTACCGCAACCTATTTCTTTTTCCTGCTCGTTGCAAGCAAGAGGAACACCGAATACCGAGTGCCTTCTGTTGCGGTGGAAACCACATCTGTCGATAAAAGTTTCGTTTCATTGTAGACCGAGTATAGGGTTACTTGTAGTTGAGCTGAAACGTTAATGGAAATCTCTGGCGATACTAGATATTTTATGTTGCCACTGTTGACCTTTCTGGCGAATTTTTTTCTTTTTTTCATTCTTTTTTTTACTTTTTTTTTTGAGGTAGTACGAAGTAAATAAGAATCGAGGACGAGAAAAACGAGACTCGTTACGAGAGTGAACTCGGTGATCTTTGGGAGAACATGACGTTTGATTTGATAACGAGAAGCTTTCGTTCGAGTCACTTTTCAAATATTTGAGATACTTGACTGGATTTAATGTGGGAGTTTCAGTGGATTCGAGTGCCAGGTTGAGGATATAATATATATCTATATATATATTCAATCATAATTTGGTTTTGTTTAATTTCTGGCATTCGACGCGTTTTAAATTAATTACAGTTTGCAATTTAATTCGAATTTGAATTTGAATTACTTTATTTTTATTTAAATTCGAGTTTCAAGTTTGATTGCCTGGTTCTAATGTAGGTTCAAATTTAATTTAGGGTGATATTATAGTGAATTTCAGTGGATTTGAAAGCCAGGTTGAGGATATAATATATATCCATATATATATCCAACTATAATTTGGCTTTGTTTAATTTCTGGCATTCGTCGTGTTTTAAATTAATTAAATTTTGCAATTTAATTCGAATTTGAATTTCAATTTGAATTACCTTATTTTTATTTAAATTCAAGTTTCAAGTTTGATTGCCTGGTTCTAATGTAGGTTCAAATTTAATTTAGGGTGATGTTATAGTGAATTTCAGTGGATTTGAAAGCCAGGTTGAGGATATAATATATATCCATATATATATCCAACTATAATTTGGTTTTGTTTAATTTCTGGCATTCGTCGTGTTTTAAATTAATTAAATTTTGCAATTTAATTCGAATTTGAATTTGAATTACCTTATTTTTATTTAAATTCGAATTTCAAGTTTGATTGCCTGGTTCTAATGTAGGTTCAAATTTAATTTAGGGTGATGTTATAGTGAATTTCAGTGGATTTGAAAGCCAGGTTGAGGATATAATATATATCCATATATATATATTCAACTATAATTTGGCTTTGTTTAATTTCTGGCATTCGTCGTGTTTTAAATTAATTAAATTTTGCAATTTAATTCGAATTTGAATTTGAATTACTTTATTTTTATTTAAATTCGAGTTTCGAGTTTGATTCCCTGGTTCTAATGTAGATTCAAATTTAATTTAGGGTGATATAATAATGTCCGGATTTTTAAATTCAAATTATTCTAGGCATTCGTGCTTAATTCGAGTTCGATTTTCAAATTTCATTTTAAATAGAACTCAAATTTCCAATTCGATTTGATCCTTGTGTCTAATTTAAATTGAAATTAATTTCCGTGTAATAAAGACAAATTTTTCTCCAATTCAAATACCACTATTTTTAATTCAAATTCGAGTTCGAAAACCGCAGATAATCCAGATTAAAATCCCGGCTTCGATTGAATTTCCAGCTCGAATTTAAATTTGACACCGCACCGGCGTAACAGAAGAATATTTCTCGAATTCCGATTCCACGTTTCAAGTATCCAATCCAGCCCCGCGAACTGCGCCTCCGATTACCGTTTCCTGTTAATTAATCACAAACCAAACCATTCTTCTCTCAACTTCCTTATCGCCTTCGCGCAGCAGCCGTACGTCTAAACCGCGAGGAAAAAAGTCACGTTTCAAAGTGCCCGTTCACCGAGAAACAATGGCCGCCCTTATTCCCAGCGCCAGCTATCGATACCGAGAACTAACCGACCGCAGCCTCGATGACTGAATTCTTGGCTCACAAAGAATCCCGGCTGCCCGATAATGCCTCGATTCGCGCGATTTCGCGTCGATATATCAGTTCGTTTCTAATTAACCGACGGATAAAAATCCTGCGAGGGGGAGTAACGGGCCCTCTGGCGGCGGCGTCCGGTATTAGACGATAGACCAATGGCGGCAGAACCTGTTATTAGGCGTAGCGTTACCGCGTGCTCATTTACATCATCCTGATATCCAATTATCGGCCGGTTACTTAAGCAGCTCGTAGATGATAAAAGCACACGCATCGCGTGGAAGTTGCAGACTCTCCGTGCAATATTTATCGCTCGAGTAAATGTTAATCGCGAGCGAGGAAGGGGAGCCGCGCGGTGTTATTAATGGAACAATTAGTATCACGGGTGTTAAGATGCTATCGCTGGTGTCTGTTTGACTCTTTAATCAGCGGCAGCGAACGGGCCGCGTTCCTGCCAGGTGAATGTCAGTCGTGTGGCTGTGGGACTTGCCAGCGAGGAGAGCGGAGTGCTTGGGTGGAGAGAGTATGGTCGTTGTCTGATTGTCAGATGGGGTGAAAGAATCCGGATTGCATAGGACTCGCCGAATCGTATTAACATTGCAGAATGATATTATAATGATATTATAATAGATATTATATCGGTTCATCTTTTGTTACTTAAGACAGCCCCAAAAGAATTTTCCGCTTAACTCACTAGCGCCACCACGGTCCGTATCTCCGAATGTGCCATAAATATCGTATATATCGTCTAATTATCTGGTAACTTTACTCATAAATGCGAGAAAAATACTCGTTAATCGTTTCAATTTCACATATATCTGTATTTCAGTCGTTGAACCTAACCTCAACCGGTATCCTGTTTAAACGGAATAAATCTATCGATCACTGACATCCAGCTGAGTCTGTTTACCATCGAAACGCAGTTCTGTATGATTCATTAAACCTCCATTTACCATTTCTACCATTATTTATTACTATGTTTATCATTATTAACCATTTCTACTGTATCGAACGAAACGAAACCCGGTGAAACCGATTGAAATCGACTGAAACCGCAGGAAATACGCGAAAATTGAATTCACTTCGCCTCAAATCACCGAACCATGGTATTCCCAACTTCCTTACACGCCTCTAACCGGTACCGTTCCGCTTCTGTTTGCAGCACGCGAACAACGTACGCAAGTCAGCAGCGGAGTACGTGGCGCGGCGACAAGCGCGCAAGATCTCGATGACACGATCGATGACCTCGTCGCTGGCGTTGCCGATGAGCCAGCTGAGCGACGTGGCCTTCCTGCCGAACGCGAAGGCCGGCACCTTCTTCGCCCGTGACAACGTGTCGAACTTTATCGGCTGGTGCCGCAACAGTCTAGGCATCATCGAGTGCCTGTTGTTCGAAACCGACGACCTGATTATGCGCAAGAACGAGCGTCACGTGATCCTGTGCCTGCTGGAGGTCGCCAGGCGAGGCGCGAAGTTCGGCATGCTGGCTCCTATGCTGGTGCAGATGGAGAGACAGATCGATCGCGAAATCGCCGCTGAAAATAAGGCTGCGAACGGAGCCCATGGAAATGCCGGGAACGAGGAGAGCGACGACGAGTATGCTGACATGCAGCAGGAAGAACCGTGTCTCATATACGGACCCCAGCCGCAGATCGTTACCAACGACCTGAAGAGCCTGGACGAAATGGTGAGTCGATGTTTTTGAGTCTTTTAGTTTGCTTTAGAGTAGCCTGGCTGGGGATGAAGCTAACCTTAGTAGCGATTTTTCGACAAATTTTTTGATGAGGCGATGTTTTTGGGTCGGGTAGTTTGCTATAGAGTGACTTGGGTAGGAATGCGAAGCCTCGATAGCGATTTTTTGACAAATTTTTGGTGAGTCGATGCTTTTGGGTCGCGTAGTTTGATATAAAGTGACCTGGGTGGGGATGAAGTTAACCTTAGTAGCGATTTTTCGACAAATTTTCTGGGGAGACGATGTTTTTGGGTCGGGTAGTTTGCTATAGAGTGACTTGGGTAGGAATGCGAAGCCTCGATAGCGATTTTTTGACAAATTTTTGGTGAGTCGATGCTTTTGGGTCGCGTAGTTTGTTATAGAGTGATCTGGGTGGGGATGAAGCTAACCTTAGTAGCGATTTTTCGATAAATTTTCTGGCGAGGCGATGTTTTTGGGTCGCGTAGTTTGCTATAGAGTGACCTGGGTGGGGATGAAGCCTTACTAACGACATTTTGACAAATTTTTATATAGGTACACATCTATAGCCATTGGCGTCTTTTTTTATGGGGGTGGTCTTAAGAGACTTCATTATCTTTTTACTGTTAATGCGATACAAATGTTAAGGGTTAAATTACTATAGTATTTTGATTATTTTGAGAGTATAAATTTTTTATCATAAATTACTTGATCGTTTAATTTTTGTATCTTTTCTTCTCGGGGTATGAAAATTTCTATAGGTAGTACGTCACCCATGTATTATTGATAGCGCTGCAATGCTAATAACTTCGTAGTATTCGCATCTCGAAGACAAGGCTGTGTCTGTTCTGATCCGCGAGATTCCGGGCTCAGCTTGGGAAACGGATTCGTATTTTTAAAAAGGCCGACGCGACTGTAATGTTCCCAGACTATGAAAATAACTCGCGCCCTTAGGTGTATCGGAGTATATTTATGGCGCTGCTCCCCGTTGACCGTGAATATCACGAGATCAGGAATAAGAGAGTGGTTATTCGTATTCCGTCGTTGAAAGGCGATGGAACCGCGCGTAATTCATGTTCCATAATTCATCGTTTATCGGCCTACGCGTACTAGGCATGTTTAGGCCCTTTGTTTATCAGGAACGTAGCACTTGCACTGAAACAGCCTCTAGCGTGCTTGGTATCTTTATTTCAACCACACGGATGCCTTCCTCGCGTTCGAAACGCCACGGAAATGGGATGTTCTTTTGAAACAACCTGTATTCCCATGTTTCTCTCAGTCGTTCGTATCTTTAGCTTCATTAATCCGATAATCTCTGTTCGAAACATTCTATGCACCTCTTCAGTTTTGTCCAATAATATTCCAAATCTATTTACGTTCTTCTTTTGAAACATCCTGTATATCCAATATCATTCCCAATCCACCATATTTTTAGCTCCAATCTCATCCTTTTAGTTTGGTTAAATAACCTCTTTTTAAAACACCCTGTAAATTTTTATCCAATAATATTCTAAATCTATTTACGTTGGTCTTTTGAAACATCCTGTATCTCCAATATTATTCTCAATCCTCCATATTTTTAGCTTCACTCTAATTTTTTTAGTTTCGTTAAGTAATCTTTCTTTAAAACATCCTATACATCTTTTCATTTTTGCCCAATAATATTCTAAATCTACTTACGTTGGTCTTTTGAAACATCCTGTATCTCCAATATCATTCTCAATCCTCCATATTTTTAGCTCTACTCTTATCTTTTTAGTTTCGTTAAATAATCTCTGTTTGAAACATCCTATACACCTCTTCATTTTTGCTCAATAATATTATTAATCTATTTACATTATTCTTTTGAAACATCCTGTATCTCCATATCGTTCTCAGTCGTCCATATTTTCGGCTCCACTAAGTGACACAATGGCAGGGATCGTTATACCGAATCGTTGTGCGTTTCATTTCGACTGTGTAATATTCGAAACCTAACCTCACAAATCAATGCTAGAGCGCTGCGTTTCGAGAAGCAGTGACGTATCACCGTCGCAGGTGGCCCGGTGATTTTCCGGTGAAAAGAAAAATGCGAAAAAATAAAAGAGGTCTCGTGAATAGACTCGTAACAGGCGCACGCGAAGAAACGACGGCTTAAATGTCGCCTTGATAACTCTCTTCCGACTCGTAAATCGTATTAGCATGACACCGGAGCGAAAACCGTCGCGCTCCCAGTTCCAGGCGTTTTCCACCTCTAAATGGATTAAACGGCCACTAAATCAGCTGGCTAAACGTTACGCGTCCGCGTCACGTGGGCAGAACAAGCGTAATTGCCCGGTCTCGAAACCGATTTCGTTTTCGTTGCAACGTCGATCGTAAATACCTTGCGTGTGCTACGTGGGAATCGGTCTGGTGCTCCGGACATGTCCACCTCTAACGCACTCTAGCGTCGGTCACGCGTGTTAGATGTTACCGTAGGAAGAATGGCGCGGACAGAAGTTTCCCTGAATGGTCACCAGGGGAATTTATGGTCGTATTGTGCCACTCTTGTAGCCTGCAAGCCAGTCCAGGACTTTTAGGTTAGGTACATTAATTGAATTCTATGGCCGGTGTTGTTGCTCGAATTTATTGTTGGTTATGTTTAGGTGGAATACGTAAGGCGATTGGTAGCTGACACGAACCTCTTGATAACGCTTGTTTAACGCGTCTCGAATTTTTGACGATGTACACTTGCTGGCAAAAGTCAAGGAACGTAGCAATGCACGAATTTTTGTATCCCTTTTAATCTCTGACATATGTATACGAGTATGACAGTATTACTTGTATTATACTTTTATCAACTTTTATTAAGTCACCAGTAATTACTTTGCACTCGAGAGGCACCTTTTAATTCAGTCACCATTTAAAGAAATTTTGAAGGTCGATATTAATTAATACATTATTATTAACCCTAAACTGTCAGCTGTCACACTGTTTTTCATTTTTCATTGACACGACTTTACCGTAAAAATGGCGCAAAATTCAAATCTTGCGTGAATTTTAGGACATCCTATATACATATATATATATATATATATTTCATACATCAAATATCTTGAATGAATCCCATTTAGTTTCAGTTTTGATGCACGTAAATTTTAAGAATTCGATTATATCTCGGAAAATAAAGAACGTATAAGAATTTTTACTTTGTTCTTTAACTTTTAACGGGAAGTGTACTTATCTATCTAAATCCCAGGGTATCAAACGATCGTTACGAACATTTCCGCAGAACACTTAATACGAGACAGAAAACTGATACGATATGAACGTTGAAGCTTCATTGTTTAACTCGGTATCTATACTCGCATTGAGACTTTTGAGTTAATGCAATTTCTGATAGATTTATAATCTCGCTCGATCTTCCGCTTATCTCTGAAATACACACGGTTGTAAATTCTGCTCGTTCTCGAGGTACGTTCTCGAAAAAATATCGAGTAGAAGATATTTCTCACAGGTCACGAGGGTTCTAGAATTTTCTAGAATTTTCCCAGGAATTGGCCGCATTCCGCGCGGAAAATTAAAATAACAAAGCCGTTCCATTTCCCCGCATCCTTTGTGCAGTTATCCGTGGCATGCGCTTTAAAACACGCTTAGGTATCCGAGGGATTCTAGTAGTTTGAATACAGCCGAGCCCAGGCTACGCTCGCGCCATCTAGCCTGGACGAGAAAAGCGCGAACCGCTGATCCATCCGAGAAAGAATTTAAACAACGGCGCCAAGGAATCTCAGGCTACGCCTAACGGCTCCCAGATTCGCGTGTAACTATACTTGTTCGGGTCTGAGAGAAGAGAAATAGCCGGAGAGCCTTTAAACGTGAAATTGATTTAAGGCGATAAACGAACGTGTGTACGTGTTCTCGTACACGTATGGCTAAAATTGCGAGTATATTATCTCGTTTCGCGTGTTCTAACACGTCCCTGTAAGTATTTACCCTGTTCAGGATCGAAAACATCTTTTTTCCCTTGAAATAGACGTTATTTGTTTTTAGGTTAGGTACGTATGTCGCCATGACAGTGGTAGCTATGGTAACTATGATTCTATCAAAGCCCAAACAATTTTTTCCTGTACTTTACAGTAAATTGAATGTCCAAAGTGAACATAACCTAGAAATACGTATGGTATGAACGGCAAGTGGAATATCTCTCTACGAAATAGGTGTATAGATATATTCACGAGTGCTCGGTGTTCACGAGAGGTTCACCGTTGAGTTCATAGTGTGGTTGAAGGAAAATGTTGTCCGGGAATTGTCGAATAGATCGAGGAGAACCGCGTGGCGATAGCGTGTCGCGTGAACGGGGAATTTCTGCGTCGTGAAATGCCGCGTGCTGGTGCGCATGCGCGCGAGTACATCGCCGTTGTTCTGCGGCCGGCGCGAAAAAGTCGGCCCGAGGTGTTTTCCAACGTGTTACAGCCGGAACTAACGGCGTCTGGCTGCTTTAATGCGATTGAAAGGCCGCGTGTGCTTTCGAAAGCGACAAGAAACGCTCGTTAATTTGCTACGTTGGAACGAATGTAGTCTCACGTTTGCTATTTTACCATGCGCAACTTTTCTTTTCCGTTGGATCCCTGTTGTTGTTTCTGTCGCGACTCGGTACGTCGTTAAGACTCCATTTGAAACTGATAAAAGCATATACCGGATGTTTTATAAATTCCTACAATGAAATGCGAACAAAAAGATTCTTAAACCCACTCACCGTAACACGTATGGATATACATTTCGAATCTCTCGATAGGTTATGATTCCAACCTATTCACAAAATTCGAAATAATTTTATCTATATTTCTTCTATTTCTTATTCGACGAACTTACGTGCATTACAATATCTCACAACTTAATTGACTGTTATGTCAAGCAAGACGTCCAAATTTTAATTTTTTCCCAGTTAGAACAGTCTCCGAAAAGGAGAAAAGGGAAACGAGAGAAATGTGATTTTGAATCTCCCGCTCTTGGTTCCCCCATTCTGCGTCCACGCCCAC